TTTTTTTTGAGCGGGTTTTGTTGGATTGCACAGTGTGTTTGCGTGATGTTGCCATGACCTTTGTCACTCTCACACGCCGCTGTTGCATGTTTGTTTGTCATCTCCAGAACAGCCAGGGCAACCGCGTCAAAATCCACTTCAGTATTGAGGACGGTGGCGAAACCCCAAAGGTGCGCGTGCGCGTTCACGTGTACTGGCATGCTCCCTTGCTCACGAGTGCATGGGCTTGTGCATGCGTGCCTGCATGTCTTCTTGCGTGTGCGCGTTCCTGCAGACATGCGTGCGAGTTTTTGCAGCACCACAGACAGCACAGAACATGTAATTGCCTGCACACACACACACATGTGTATGTCCACGCTCATTGACCGACACCACCGCGTCACACCATCTGTTGCGACGACTGTGCAGTTTGTCGCTGAGGTGCGCAGCAAGACGACGCCGGCGACCTTTGAGGAAAGCAGCCTCGATACGCTCTACCGCGCCCTCCTCAAGAGCATGAACGTGTGTACAGCGGCGTGCTGATGGCTGCTTTGCCTGCATGCATGTGAGCACTGGCTGCTGGCTATGCCCACCTGTCGTTTGTGTACACGCATGTCCGCTCATTTTGAACATTCGTCCATGTGTCGCTTTCTTTGTGTGTGATTGTGTGTGTGTGTGAATGTGTGTGAATGTGATTGTGTGTGTGAATGTGATTGTGTGTGTGTGATTGTGTGTGTGAATGTGATTGTGTGTGTGATTGTGTGTGCTTGTGTGTGATTGTGTGTGAATGTGATTGTGTGTGTGATTGTGTGTGTGTGTGTGTCTGATTTTGTGTGTGTGTGTGTGTGTGTGTGTGTGTGTGTGTGTGTGTGTGTGTGGTCAGCGGACGGCGAGTACAGCGACGATTGCGCGTGCGCCAAAGATGCTCGGTGTTGGCGAGGAGAACGTCATTGCCCTTCTCAAGGTGAGAACAGACATGCAGCCATTGCGTCTTGCAAGCAGCAACAATCACATACACACACACAGAGCGTCCTCCGCGTCTCGCTCACCTGTTTCTCTCCGTGTGCGTGTGCGTGTGCGTGCGTGTGTGTGTGTGTGTGTGTGTGTGTGTGTGTGTGTGTGTGTGTGTGCAGTCGCCCAGCCCGCTGCGAACGGTGGACGACACGGGGGAGCGGCGGCGGCGACAGGAGGAGGGCAGCAGGAGGAAGAGCAGCCAGCAGCAGCAGCAGCAGCCAGCGAAGAAGCAGCAGAAGCACACTGCTGCTGGCAGCACTGGGAGTGGCAATGGTGGTGTTCCGGCAACTTCATCGACAACGTCGGTACCGCCGTCATCACTGCCGCCGCCGCTGCCCCAGCCGCAGTTTTCGCCACAGTGGACAGATGGAGGTCCGCACACGCATCCATATGCTGCCATCATCCCCGCCACCACGGCAGGCATGGCCACCACGACCACAGCACCGCCAGCAGGGATGGTGCCACAGGGTGCTAGTGGATACTCGCACCTGTACCAGCAGCCGGCTGGCGTGGATGCGCAGAGCGTGCCTGCTGGCGACACTCCCGGAAGTGATACGGCCCAGCAGCAAGGCCAACGCGGGCAGCAAGCGGAGCAGCAGGGTGCTGACGGCCCCGTGAGTGTGCGGCAGGAGGGGTCGGTGCAGTCAGGGAGCGAGGCGACAAGTGGACGCGCCAGCGCGGCGACGGGCGCCCCGGGCAGCGGCAACGGCGAGACACACACGAGCAGCACGAGCGAATCGAGAACAAGCGGTGGCAGTCGATCCGGCAGCAGCAGCAGCGGCAGCAGCGGCAGCAGCAATGATGGCGGCGACAGCAGTGGTCAGCAGCCGACTATGGCCGTGCCGCACTCAGTAAATACGCAGCAAGACCAAACGTTGCAGCAGCAGCAGCAGCAGCAGCAGCAGCAGCAGCAGCAGCAGCAGCAGCAGCCGCAGTATGCGTACATACAGCAGTATGCTGCCCATCCATTTGCAATGCATGCGGCGGCGCAGCAGCAGGGCCACCACCAGATGATGCACGGCATGCCCAACACGACAAGCACGACGGCGTCGGCGTCGGCAACAATGTCGCCCCCGCCGGCTATGCAGCCCGTGTTTATGAGCCCGACACACGGCCCCATGCAGGGCATGTACGGGTATCCGGCGTATGCGTCGCCGCCAGGATACGTGATGACGCCAGCAGGCATGGTTCCGTATGGGTACGCGCAGCCAGGGTGGGGCATGGTGGGGGCGATGCCCATGCAAGGGTTCCCGCAGGGGACGGCCCAGACAGCTTCACCACAGCAGTTTGCAATGCACCCACAGCAACAGCAACAGCAACAGCAGCAGCATGAGGGAAGTGGTGATGGTGTTGATGGTGGTGGTGGTGATGGTGGTGGTGATGGTGGTGGTGTTGTTGATGGGGTTGCAGCAGGCCAGCCTGGTCGGAAGACCAAGGACAAAGGCAAGAGCAAAAGGAGCAAGAAGGCCAGGGAGCAAGCAGAGTAGACCGGACGCCAGAGGAGAGAACATGGCTTGTCGTTATTTTGTTACACAGATTGCTTTTCCCTCTGCTTGCCCGTCTGCCTTGCTTATCGTCTGTACAAAAAGGCGCGCGTGTGCGTGACTTGCTGTCTTGTGGTGTGTGGTGTGTGATTGAACAGTGAGGCCGCTCGCTTCCCACGGTATGCCGTTGTACCACCAGCCAGCCATCTCAGTTGACATGAAGAACAAAGGAGCATGCAACACATGAGAGGATGACGAAGAACAAGACAGGAGCGATTGTTGCGTGCACATTTCCAGTGGTTTTGTTTGTTTTTGTTGCTGCTGACGCTGAATGACGACTACGACAACAATGCTTCTTGCCAAGACTGCTGCTGCTGCTGCTGTTCGCCAAGCCCTGCTGGCTCGGCCCCTGGGCGCCGTCAGCAAGCGCTTTGCTAGTTCCGGCCTGAGCTTTGAGCTCTCTGACGAACAGCGTGTACGTTCAGTTCATATGTCTGGTGTGTGTGTGTGTGTATGTGTGTGTGTGTATGTGTGTGTGTGTGTGTGTGTGTGTGTTCTTGTGTGTGTGTGTGTGTGTGTGTGTGTTCTTGTGTGTGTGTGTGTGTGTCTGTCTCTCTGTCTCTCTGTGTCTGCGTGCTTGTGTGTGTGTGTGTGTGTGTGTGTGTGTGTCTGCGTGCTTGTGCCATCACGCCATTCCTCTCACTGTGTCGTCCTGTGGGCTGGGTATTGAATGCCATGTTGTGCTTTCACACACACACGTGTTGGTTGCTGTCGTCATCGTCCTCCTTCTCCTTCTTCTGGTTGACCTCGTCCTGTTTCATGGCAGGCTCTGGACGACCTGAGCAAGAAGTTCGCCGTCAACGTAAGCGTCTGTTGTCGACCATGCTCATTGTTTTGGTGTGCCTCCCTTGATCCTGTGCTTTCCTTCGCACCTCGTTTTCGTCTTCCCCCAACAACCACTGGTTCTTCATATGACAGGAGATTGCACCTGCCGCAGCTCATCATGACAAGACGGGCGAGTTTCCATGGGACCTCGTCAAGAAAGCACAGTGAGCATGCACATGTTTGTGTGTGTGAGAGAGAGAGAGTGTGTGTGTGTGTGTGCGTGCGTGTGTGTGTGCGTGTGTGTGTGTGCGTGCGTGTGTGTGTATGTGTGTGTGCGTGTGTACACGTGAATGGCTGTCACTGCACACTGACATGTCCCCGCCCTGGACACTCATTCATCCCTCCTTGCCACTGACTCCTGTCTTGCCACCACACGTCAACAGCGAGCTCGGTTTGATGAACGTGCACATCCCGGAGGCGTACGGCGGTCTTGGCCTTGGCGGCGTCGACTGCTGCATCGTTTGTGAGCGCGTCTATGCCTGCTCGACTGTGCTTGTCAGTTGGTATTGTGCAAAACCCAGTTGCATGTCTGCACAGTCCCACTCCTTCCTCCCTGCTCACCCTGCCATCCAACCGCGTGCGTGTTTGCAGCCGAGAACCTCGCGTACGGGTGCAGTGGCATCTCCACCGCCATTGGCGGCCCCACCCTCGCGGAGTCCCCGCTCATCGTCGGCGCCAGCGAGGACATCAAGAAGCGCTACCTCGGCAGGTGTGTGTGTGTGTGTGTGTGTGTGTGTGTGTGTGTGTGTGTGTGTGTGTGTGTGTGTGTGTGTGTGTGTGTGTGTGTGTGTGTGACTCCGCGTTTTTGCAGTTGTGTGTTGTGTTCCCGTTCTGTTGTCCCGCGCACCGGTTTTAATCCCATGGTGCCCCTTCTTTGTACCTGCAACCTCATGACAGGATGACGGAGGAGCCCCTCATTGCCTCCTACTGCGTCACGGAGCCAGGCTGCGGCAGTGACGTCGCGAACGTTCAGGTGTTCAGTACGGCATGGCCACCATGTGTGTGTGTGTATGGCTTACACATGCGGTTGCAACGTTCTTCGCCACATCCTGCTCGTTTCCTTGATCCAACATCTGTGTACAAGCATCTCACGTTGGTGCTGTGCGCCTTCATTACGGCCCATGCGTTCCCTGTCGCGAATCAAAAACACCCACACCGTCAGACGTTTGCGGAGAAGCGCGGTGACGAGTGGGTGATCAACGGCAACAAGGCCTGGATCACGGGCGCAGGGCACGCCAACTGGTTCTTCGTCCTCGCTCGCACAGAGTACGGCAGTGCTTCTTGTCTCACACGTCCATGTGTTGATATGTGTGTGTGCATGTGTGTGTGTGTGTGCATGTGTGTGTGTGTGCATGTGTGCGTTTTGCGCATGTGCGAGGGCACGACACTGCTCGCCCAGGCACATTGCTTTTTTTTTTTTCTGTGCCTTTTCCCTAGCACTTGACATGACTCTTTTTCATGGCCCACGACGTTCGTGCCCGTCAGTCGCAACGCCAAGCCCGGAAGCGCGTTCACCGGATTTGTTGTCGATGCGGACACGGCTGGCGTCATCCTTGGCAAGAAGGAGCCCAACATGGGCCAGCGGTGAGCATCCCCCACGCAGCCAGCCACCTGCAGTCCAACGGTGTCACTGCTCCTGCTGACCCCCAGTGATTGTCACACACACATGTGTGATCTATGCCGACACGCACTCACTCACTTATTCACTCATTTACTCACACACTCGTGCACGCGCGTGCTACATTTGTTGTTCTGTTGGTGTGGATCGTCTGTTCAGTGCATCAGACACGCGCACGGTGACGTTTGAGGATGCTGTTGTTCCTGACGCAAACCGCGTTGGCGACGTTGGCTTCGGCTTCAAGCTCGCCATGAAGGCGTTCGACATCACCCGACCAGAGGTGCGATTGTGTTTGGTCCTGTTGTTCCATTGTTGTCTCGGCCTTGCGTGCGGGAAATTGTTCTCAACAAGCTACTAACACCACGTGTATTCCCTTCGTGTGTGTGTACAGGTTGCTGCTGGCGCCGTTGGCGTTGCTCAGCGTGCACTGGTACGTAGCACGCCATATTTCGTTCGACAGCAAAGAGTGCAACTTTCGTTGCTTTCAAGCTCAAGACACCCCTGATCCCTCGTGCTACACCCACAGGCAAACACCCCCCCCCCCCTATCCTCACCGCCGCACACACACACACACACACACACACACACACACACACACACACACACACACACACACACACACACACACACACACACCCCACTGCTTGTTGTGCTCTTCCAACAGGACGAGGCGCTCAAGTATTCGCTTGAGCGCAAGACGTTTGGCGTGCCCATCATTGGACACCAGGCCGTGTCCTTCATGCTCGCCGACATGAAGATGGGCGTGGATGCCTCGCGTTGGCTGACGCTCCGCTCTGCATGGGAGCTTGACGCTGGCCGCCGTCCAACGTTCTTTGCCAGCATGGCCAAGGCCTTTGCTGCCGATCACGCCATGAAGTGCACGACAGACGCCGTCCAGATCTTTGGCGGAAACGGTGCGTGGTGCTGTTGACATCATGTTGTCTCGTGTTGCTGGCTAGTCTTGGCTGCTCGTGTGTGCGCGTGCGTGTGCACATGCCGTTCGCTTCTGCATGCTCACACTCAACTTCAGGCCATCTGCCGTTGTTTTGTCACCCAACGCCTGTCATCTCACAACACATGATCGTCGCCGTCACCACCACATCATTGCATCTGCTGCCACTGCAGGCTACAGCTCGGACTACCCCGTGGAGAAGCTGATGCGTGACTGCAAGATCTTCCAGATCTACGAGGGCACGTCGCAGATCCAGCGCCACATCATCGCCCAGGTGCCGTGATGCTTGCACGTTGCTGTCTTTGTGTGCGTGCGTGCGCGCGCGCGTGTGTCTTTGTCTGCGTCTGCGCGCGTGTGTTTGTGTGTATGTGTGTGTGCGTGTTTGTGTCTGCCTGCCTGTGCTCTGTGTGTGTGTGTGTGTGTGTGTGTGTGTGTCTGTCTGTCTGTCTGTCTCTCTGTCTCTCTGTCTCTCTCTCTCTCTGTTTTGGGTGATTTTTTGTGCCCATACGGTGCTCGATGACCACGCTGTTTCTGGAGACTGTTTCGACAACCTCACGCGCCCGTCTGTCACCACACACACACACACACACACACACACACATCATGCATTCTGTGCAGACGATGGCCGAGATGGCCAAGCAGGGCGCCATGTGATGATCGTGCCGGCAATCACATGACTGCTCCACACATCTCCCTCACTTTGCATCTGTTTTGTGTTTGTGTTCGCGGTTTTCTGCGCCAGTGTCCTGCACCGCAGCCGTTAGCCACCACGTGATGGTTGTTCTTGCTTTCGTCCTCACCCTCCGTTGTTCCAATACCCCAATACACACGACAGCTTTCTATGTTTGGCCAGCAGTTGTGTGGAATCATTTATGGATGCATGGCCGGGGGGGGGGGTTCACTTAACACGACAGCGAGGACACATGTTGGTTCGTGTGGACAAGCAAATTAATATGAACACAGGCAGGGTGGGGGGGGGAACATGTGCGCTCGACCTTACGCGACCGAGCACACATTACGGCGTTTGAAGGTGTGTGTTGTGTGGTATTCTGACACCGCGCGCACGAAGAAGACGGAGAACAGACGTCATTTCCTCCACGCGATCCGTCAGTGCAGTCACCTGGGCGGCCTGTCCACCAGAAGGAGAGGGCGAAGGGAAGGTGGGTGGGGAAGGGGAGGGGGTTGCGATGTGAGATGTGAGGAACAACCCGCACACACACATACACACGCACACACACACACACACACATCACGCACACACACACACACACACACACACACGCACACACAGACACAGGCACACACACACACACGCACAACAGACACATAGACACACCTTTTCGAGGAATGCACGCCGCCACTTGTTGTTGACGTCTTCGACGTCCACGGTGTGGGTGTGATCGCGGCGGGTGAGCAGCTCCTTCACGTGCTGTTCACGATCCCGCTGCTTTGCCTCAAGCTCTGAGATGCGCTGCAGCAACAGGTTGTAGTGCTGCATGCCGGGCGAGTGGTACTTGCGGGCGACAGCAAGCTCGGCCTCCTTGTCGCGCACCTGCAGCTCTAAGTCACGGATGGTTCGCTCGTACAGCGCCACCTGCTCGTGTGTTGGCGCTGTCTCCAGCTTGCGCGACAGGGAATGCACGGCTGCTTGCAGCTCCTTCACCACGTGCTCCTCCCGCTCCTTGTCTGCAATGCGGTTCTCGAGCGCATCAATCTTCGCAGCAAAGTCCCGCTGCAGCTGCTGCGCAGACACGCGCGCCTTCTCCTCAGCAAACTGCTTCCCCTTCCGGTGGTCCTCAGCAAGTGCCAGCGCCGCGCTCAGCCGCTGCTCAAGATCTTTGATGGCCGCCTTGGCTGCGTCGTACTTGCTTCGCAACCCTTTCATCGCCTGCACGTCGTGATGCAATCGCTCCAATTCATCACGCAGCTCGTCCCGCTCCTTCACCGCTGCTGACGCAATCCTCTTCTGCTCGGCGAGGGCTGCTGCTGCCTCTGCACTGTCACCGCCGTCGGCATTTCTGTGCCGCCGCCGGAGCGCCGCCAGCTCTTGCTCCAACTCCTTCACGCGCGTGTGCGGTCGCAGTGACGACGAAGGCGACGCCGAAGATCGCAGTTGCTTCTCCAGGTGCGCCGTGTGCTTGGAAAACTCCTCACGCATGCTTTGCATTTGTTGCTGGAAGGTAGCCACCTTCTCCTGCATGCTTGCGCGCGCAGCACGCAGCTCCTCCTCCAACGCGCTCGCTTCCTTCGTCTTTTCCGCCAGCTTCATCCGCAGCACGGTGTGCGTGTCCTTGGCACTTTCACTCATCATCGCTGCAAACGCGCTCTCTTCTTCCTTTGGCTCTCCCAACGCTTCCTGCTGTTTCCGCTCCCGCTCCCGCTGCTGCTGCTGCTGCTGCTGTTCGTCTTGTTGCCCCCGCCGCGGCTGCTGCTGTTGCGCTCCGTTCTTGGCCGTGTCCTCCTCCTCCTCACCACCACCACCACCACCATCGCGACGACCACCACGACCTTGACGCACCCCGCCTGGTGTCACCTGCGTCTGCAGGTGCTTGATCTTCTCCTGCGCCTCCGCGAGCGCGCGAGTGAGGTCGCTCTTCTCCACGCGCAACGCATCAATCGTTTCCCGCAGCGGCACCACTGTGACTTGCTCGTAATCGCGTGCGTTCGCCTCCAATGTGGAGCATTTGTCCTGCAGGTGCTGCACGCGTTCGTCCAGAAGTGCGCAGCGTCGGGACAGCAACTCCTCTCGCTCGCCACTCTCCTTCTTCGCTGCATTCAACTCGCCCTCCAGTTCAACAACACGTGCGTTGGTGATGGCGCCGGCACTCATGAGCTGCTCCTCCAACACCTCATTCCGCGAGCGCAGCGTGAAGTTCTCGGCCGTCAATCGCTCGTTCTCCGCATGCATGTGCGCGAGCATGTGCTTGGTCGTGCCCTCACCCTCCTTGATCAACTTGTACAGCCGGTCGTTCTCGCGCTGGAAGTTGAGCAGCATCCCCTCCTGTTCCTCCACAATCCGCTTTGTCTCCTCTGCGCCGCGCTGCTGCTTGGCCCCGGCCTCCACCATCGCCGTCAGCACCTTCACCTGGTGTTGCAGCGCGCGCACCTTGTTGTCCACCGCAAAGGCAACCACCTCCTCCTGCTCGCGCGCGCTCCTGGCAGCGTCGGCCTGCTTCCAGTGCTTCATCACCTCATCCCGCATCTCTGCTGCTGTCGCCGCCGCCGCCTCCTCTGCACGTGCAGCCACAACGCCAGCCGTTGATGATGCTGTCCCTCGCACCCTTGCTGTTGCTGCTACTGCCTGGGGCGGAGTTGCATACTGCTGGGCAATGGGGAGTCTGCACCCGTGGTCAAGCGGCTGGCGTGGTGACAGCTGTGACGACGATGTTGACAGCGTGGGCACAGCCAACCTGTTGTTGTCGCTGCTACTGCTTGTGGTGTCTGCTGGACGGCGTTTTCGACGCTTCGGGATCATTGACGGCGTGGTTGCCCGCGAGCCCACGCCTGCCGAGGTCTCGTGCTGCTGCTGTTGTTGTTGCTGTTGTTGTTGTTGTTGCTGTTGCTGCTGCTGCTGTTGTTGTTGCTGTTGTTGTTGTTGTTGTTGTTGTTGTTGCTGTTGTTGTTGGTTGTTTTCCTCCTCTTCCTCTTCTTGTGCCACTGCACCCCTGACCACCATCCTCTCGTCACCGCCGCCGCGTGTGCCTGGTCGCGTGGACGCCTCCGACATACTCATGTCTGCGAAGAAGTCCTCAAAGTTCTGCATCTGAGCACCAGGCGGACCAACAGTGGAGAGCGTGAGGCCGCGGTCCAGTGGCGGTCGCTGCTGCTGCTGCTGCTGCTGCTGTTCTGGTCCTTTATCTTCTTCTTCTTCTTCTTCTTCTTCTTCTTCTTCTCGTCCTTTGTCTTCTTCTTCTTCTCGTCCTGCTTCTTTGTCTTCGCGACTTTCACTGCCGCTTTCGTCTCCTTGTTTCTTGCCTGCACCACCCTTACCCCTCCCCTCAGCACCGCGACCGCCACCAGTGTCTTGGTTGTGTTCCGAGGTGGGCGATGCGTCCAGGCTGTCCCGCTGCACGTGCACCGGTACAGGTGACACCGTCCTTGTGATGCTCTTATCGACATCATCATCATCATCATCATCATCACCACCACTCGTGTCGGCTTGAGGCGCTGCTCTCGCAGCCGCACCCCTGTCTCCAGCAGCAGCAGCAGCAGCGGTTGTGACAGACGTCTTGGGTGCTCGCTGGTGTGATGATGGCTGTTGGCGGTGTTGCGGTGGTTCGCTGGCCTCTGCGCTGTCTTTGTCCTCCTCTCGCTCGCCATCCTCTGTTAATTCCTCCTCCTGGTCTTCCTTCTCCTTTTCCTGTTGCTGCTTGTGCCTTGCTTGTCTGAGCTCCCTCATCCTTGCCGCTAGGCCTTTCACGCGATCGTCACGGTCCTGCGCCCTTTCCTGCGACTGCGCTACTCTTTCCTTCACTTCCACCTCCCCTGCATTGTCTTCCCTGCCACCATCGTCTGTGCTGTGTTCTGTATCGCCGCCACCGCTTGAAGTTGTCGCTCCCCCACCGCGCGATTCCTCCGTTTCCTCTTCTTCCTCAAACTCATCCTCATACTCGTCCTCCTCCTTCAACGCGCCATCGTCGTCTTCTTCGTCGTGGCTGCCTGGTGCGGGCCGCACATCAAGCTCGCTCGGCATCTCTTCCTCCACAGTCTCAAACAACGTCTTGCGCTGGGCGTGGAAGGGCGACTGCGGCGGTGACACGGTGTCGTGGTCGGACGACACGGAACTGACAGACGTGCGTGCTACCGAAGTTTGCAGGCTCACGCGTGGCGCACGCATCAACGGAGGTCTTCCACTTCCTGCTTGGAACCGAGACTGCTGCTGCTGCTGCTGCTGCTGCTGCTGTTGTTGTTGTTGTTGCTGTTGTTGTTGCATTGCGCTTGCGCTGACGAGCGGGCGGCCGCTGGTCGCCAATGTTGCTCCTGTTGCTGCAGCAGGCTGTGTCGTCGTCATAGCTGTTGGGGCTGAGGCAGCAGTTGCATCTGCAAGAATGGACGAGCGCCAGGGCAATGAGAACATCAGGAGAAAGAGGTAGGCAAGAGGAGCAAAGGTGCATCGGTCGTGGCCCGTTTGGTGCAACCTCAGTACGTTGTGTAAACATTGGGTGGCTGCAAGCGTGCCACAGGGTGTGTGCTGACCTTTGTTGAGGGCGTGCCGGGTGGCTTTGATCCAGCGGCTGCGGCTCTTGCTGACGCCAAGCTGTTCCTCATCATTATCCGCAAAGTAGAGGGACGAGGTGCGTGCACTCCCGGATCGCCCAAACCGCCCTGAGCTGGTTGTCTGCTGCCTTGCTCGAAACGTCTGGCTGTCCATGAGCTCTCCCTGTGCGTTAGAGAGTGCGCGTGTTTGGGTGTTCACATGTGTTTGCGTGTGTGTGTATGTGTGAGAGAGAGTGTGTGTGTTGTGTGTGTGTGTGTGCGAATGAAGCGCACATGTCGCATCACAGCATGCCGTAGCAACTCGCTCTGACTGTTGTTGCCAGCCTTTACTCGGTGACACATGCCCCCTTACCGTCTTGAGAAAGTGCTCAAAGGCCTCATTGCGCCCGCTCATGTTCGTGGTGGCGTATCTTCACACATCCACACATGGAACAGCAGCAAACGAGCAAGACAGGTCGGGCGAGTCGTGTGTGTGTGTGTGTGTGTGTGTGTGTGTGTGTGTGTGTGTGTGTGTGTGTGTGTGTGTCTCAGAAACGGTCAAAGTTGTGGCGTTTATTGGATATCATTTGCTAATTATCGGCAGTCCACCATCGAGATGACGAAGATGATGATGTGCATGGTGGCGGAGCCAGCAGGTGTGCAGCCCGAGACACGACGTGTTCAGGGAGGAGGGGGTCCATTGCATGGACAATGTCGAAATCATCAGGAGCACTCAGTGCTGCTGCAAACATGGGAGAAAGCGCAGGCAGTGGCATCTGCTGAGTTGTCGCTGCACCCTGTTGTTGTTGTTGTTGTTGTTGTTGTTGTTGTTGTTGTTGTTGTTGTTGTTGTTGTTGTTGTTGTTGTTGTTGTTGGTATGTGGTTTTGAAATGTATGAGCTGGCAGTCAATGTCCCACAGCTGTTTGGCCATTGTTGCCTGTAGCTGGATCACAACATACCACCAAGCAAAACCGTGGCAGAGGCATGTGCGTGCAGGTGAGTGAAAGACTTGAGAGACTTGCAGCGTGGCTCATTCACAGCAGTGTCAGGGACAAAACCACACGCACAAGCATGCACACACACACACACAAGCATGCACACACACACACACACACACACCCATCAACACATGCGTTTCTGTGCACCTGCTTGACGGGAGCGTGCGCGCGCTGGCGCTGGGTTAGTGCAGCCCTTAACTCCTTCACTTGCTTTTTCAACGCCTTCGTCTTGGATCGTGATGCCTGTATACATTGGGTGGTGAGCATGGCTCGAGTGAGAGGGAAAAAAAACAAGGACGGGCAAACACGCTTTCGATGCAAACAGCAGCACACATGTTCGCATGTGCACACGCACACACACACACACACACACACTCACGCACACGCACACACACACACAGACACGCACGGACCAGTTGTCCGAGCTCTGTATTCTTATTCATGAGGGACTTGCAGCGCCGCTTGAGTGGGTTCTTTTTCGCTGGGCTGTGGGTTGGTGATGTGCAATAAGTGGTGGTTGCGTTGCGCTCTGATGAGACTGGCATCGAGCAGATCCGAACATCACGCACAGTTTGCATGCATGCACAGATTGCTTCACACGTGCACGGAGACGCGAAGACACAGGCTTACACTTCGGGAATGAAGCGTTGGGCCTGGAGCGTGTCTCGTGCACGCCTGAGGTTTTCTTCTGTAAACGTGTGGTAGCTGGACAAGCGCTACGCAGCAGCATGCAGCAAGAGGGCGCACGATCGTACGCGAGTTGAGTGTGTGTGTGTCTGCGTGTGTCTGCGTGTGTGTGTGCGTGTGCGTGTGAATGTACTGTGCGTGTGTGTGTGTGTGTCTGCGTGTGTGTGTGTGTGTCTGCGTGTGCGTGTGCGTGCAGCATGCCCTCAAGCGCAGCGTGCGCACATTACAGCAGACCTGCATGAGCCGCTCCAATTGTGGATAAAAGGCCGGGTCGCTCTTGAAGCGGTACGGCTCTTCCTTGAGCGCCTGTCAACGTGATGTGAAATATGCCAATGACGGCGACGGTGGTCAGTGATAGTGGCAGCAGGCAGAGCTGTGAGTGTCAACAGGCCTGCAGTCACAAGATGACTCGAGCCTGACTTGAACACAACCATACCCTTGAGCACACACACACACACACTCACTTGAAGTTCGCTAAACCGCTGCTTCTGATAAAACCATTGCTTCCTGAGCTCAATGGCACGAATCGCCAACCGGTGCTCTCTGTACTTGTGTGGTTGGCCAGTCCATATCACACACGCACACACACACACGCACACACACACACACACGCACACACACACACACACAGGTGAGAACGAAGACGCCATAACGTGGTTGCCGACAAGGAAAGAGCATGCCATCACGAGCAGGCAGTGGCGATGCGTGCGTACCGTATTCTGTGCTTGGTCTGGACCGGATCGGCAGCCAGTGCAATTTGGCGCGAAAGTGAGTCCATCTCGGCATCAAGCTCATCGCACTGCCGCATCAGCTGCTCCAGCCGTGTGCCTGCCCTTGCATTGCCGTCATAGCTGCTGTTTCCACCAATATCCATCGCACCGCCGCTGCTGTCCTCCACATCATTGTCGTCGTCGTTGTGACTCGAACCACCAGCTGGCTCGGGAGTTGCCGTCACGACTTGCTTCCCCTCCACCTCACCACCTCCACTCATCTTGGGTGTGTGGCGACAGCACAAACGCGAAAGATTTGGCGAAATTTCTTTCATTCCACACGAGAGAGAGAGAGAAACAACAACAGCGTGGAGGATGATGTTTGCTGCTGCTGCTGTGGTGCGTGGTAGTGGTGTGTTGGCTGCTGGTGCAGCCACGCGTCAGGTGGCTGCCAGTGGCTCGCTGCCGGCGCTGGCGAGGGGGCTTCATGTCTCTGCTGCTGCCCGTGCTGGCCCACCTCCTTTCCAGCCTGAAAAGGCTCCTCCAGGCCTTGGTCAGTGGTGTTGTGTGTGAGTGAGTGTGTGTGTGTGTGTGTGCGCGCGTGTTTGAGTGTGTGTGTGTGTGTGTGTGTGTGAGCGTGGGTGTTTGCTTGCTTTTGTGTTAGTGCTGCATTGTACGTGTGTGTACTACATTGCGTGTGTGTGTGTGTGTGAGTGTTTGCTGCACTGCAGCATGCACCACCACGTGTGCTCTCTTGTGTCTGTGTTCCTTCTCATTCTCTGAGGCGCTGCCTCGCTTACTTCCTTCAACAGGCGAGACAAAGGAGATGAACCTGTTCACTGCCATTAACGACGCCATGGACCTTGCACTGGCGACAGACCCTACATCAGGTACTGTGGGCAGTTCGTGTTTTTTTTTCTTGGGCTTCTTGTGCACTCCATGTCACTGTTTCCCGGACTGGCACTGTAGCTTGCTGTGTGCGTGTACTCTTGTGCGACTACGCACGCTCTTGGACAAAGGGGTATTCGTACAGTGCTTTGTTTCATTCCTTGTTGGCCTTGACAAACGCCAACTCACACATGGTCACCTGCCATATTTACCTCCGTGGCGGCAGTCCTCTTTGGCGAGGACGTTGCGTTTGGTGGCGTGTTCCGCTGCAGCGTCCACCTGCGTGAGAAGCACGGTAAGTCGTGCCAGTGAATGAAAACAACAGTGACGCTGTGAGCTGTGCGTGCGTGCGTGTGTGTGTGTGTGTGTGTGTGTGTGTGTGTGTGTGTGTGTGTGTGTGTGTGTGTGTGTGTGTGTGTAGTAGTA